TCATTCTCACCATTTTTTCTCTTAATTTTCTCTGTTTCACGATCAAAAGTTCCCGGAGAAGAATTTTAACTGAAAAACGCTCAATTTCCGACGACTCCTACTTCATAGGTAAGATTTCTTTGCTTTTCATGTCGATTAAATCTCAGTTTCATAGATTTTAAATGTTAAACTTCGAAATGAAAAACCCTACTTCATGCAGATGGAAAAAGAGACATTGCGGAATATGCTGGTATGTATTTTTTGCCTTGGGTTGAAGTTTCAATCCGATTAGAGATTCAATTCACTTTCCAAAACCCTATTTTCAATTTTAAATTTCTGTGCCTAGGGTTTAAAGTAGTTATTGCAGAAGATTGTATAATGTATTGTTATTTTTTTGCCACACAGGATAAAATTAAAGCCCGTAGGAAAAATAGTTCGAAACAACGGCCAGAAAATGTTGGTGAATGGTATGTCCGCCTTGTTCATCTTCATTTGTATATTGGTTCATTTGAACATGTTCAATTTGCTTAATAACATATTCATTTGCTTATTAAACATGTTCATTTCGTTGTCATACATGTTCAAAGAACATCTTATATAGAATGTAGACATGTTCATTTTGTAATTGAACATGTTCATTATACAATAGAACAAATTCATTAAACACTGAAACATGTTCATATCATACTGTAACATGTTCATGATATTATTTGTATAGAAAAAGTTCATTTTGTTTTTAAACATGTTCATTTTGTTATTAACATGTTCATGTTATATATAAACATGTTAATTTATTTATTAAACATGTTCACATCATACTAAAATATTGTCATATTAAATGGGTGCTTTAGTCTTTTTGTTTTGTAAAAGTTCAGAGCACATATCAAATATACATGTTCATTATACAATTAAACATGTTCATTACATACTAAAACATGTTCATATCATACTGTGACATGTTCATTTTTATATTTGAACATGTTCATTATACAATTTATGTTCATATTATACTGTAACATGTTCATGATATTATTTTTGTAGAACAAGGAAATCTGATACTTTGAGTGAGCAAACTGAAAGAAAGAAGCAAAAATTAACCTCTGAAATAAAAGAAGATGTGGGAAGGGGATTCTTAAATAGAGTTTTCCCTCAAGGGTTGTGCAAATTTTTCAAAGACTTGGATGACCGACAGAAAGAAGATGTAAAGAGTATAGGTTTTGGCCATCTTCTCGACATGAAGATTACACAAATTGCGCAACCAAATCTTTGTTATTTTTTGGTCACAAAGTACAGGTAACTTGTGAAATTTGATTTTCATTAGAATGTACAAAATATTATTTTCATTCTACCACATGTTCATTTTCTTATTAAACATCTACATCACATTATATCACATGTTATCACAGGTATGCCAGTAACACTCTCATTCTCCGCGGTAATAGAGAGATGAATATTACCGCCGAAGATGTTGAGGCTGTTCTTGGCCTACCGAGAGGACCAAAAGAGGTCATTGAGGGAGATTGGTATGACAAAGATGAACAATATAATAAGATGCTTGGAGATTTGAGGGAGACCTTTGGTTTTAAGCGTACAGCTGGAGCTCCAACAGCCAAGAAGCTGGTGCAATATTTAACTGGAAAGGACATTGAGAGAGGAGGACAGAGAGTCTATGGAGATGACTTTAAAAGAATATTTGTCATAGCTGTGGTGTCCCTATTTCTCTAGAGAAATAGGGGCCAAGAATGCAAGTTAAGATTGCTCAAATCGTTGCGAGAACCATCTGAGATCATCAATTACAATTGGTGCCAGTATGTGTTACAAGCTCTTTCTGAATCAGTCAAGATGTGGCATGAAAGTGGTGGAGAGGCCCATTTTAATGGTCCACTTACCTTCTTGGTGGTATGCTATCTGGACAGGGTCCAGTTTATGAACAAGACTTATGTGCCCCGGAATTTCTCTGCTATTGCTTATTGGACAAATCAAGCAATGTCCAAGAGAGTTAGGGAAGAGGAGAGTGGCCAGGGTTTTGGGATGGGGTTAATACTTGATCCCATCAAACCACCAGGAGATGGACCGCATCAATCAGCCACATTAGCTGATGAACATGTGGTCGAGGTAAATTCTGTTCATAAGTTTCTACAACATGTACATCTTATCATAAAACATGTTCACAAAATAATATAATATGTTGATCTTTATTCTGAAACATGTTCATCCCTTCATACAACAACTTAACTTCATCCCTTTAACCAACATGTTCATCTCATTATAAATAATGTTCATATCATAATGTATCATGTTCATATAATATAACAGCTTCATCTCATACAAGTTTTTTTCCTAAATAGAAACAACAAGATGATTTAGTTGAAAAGTTTGAAAGGGCTATGACAAATATAGCACTATTCGTGTCTGAAGTTCGAGAGGTGTGTGAAAGGGCCAAGAGCTCAGATTTCAGTGCTGCCCTCATTATTCATCATGCACTTCAGAACCATGCATCAGATATCATGAAAATCGCACAAGGTGTCATTGATGTGCAAAGAAATGAAAGAATTGATGATGAAATGGGTTCTGATGGACATGAGCAGGAACAAGTTGCAGGTAACATGTTCATTTCATTCTTAAACATGTTCATCTGAT